CTATTCTTTTGCATTTTGTACTTTAAGATACCTATCCTTCCATTTGAAGTTAAATTATTTTATTCAAAAAAACCCATTAAAGTTCTGAATGAAATTGCAAATATATGTTTATTGAATTTGAAAGAACAGAAAATTGTACAGCGTTAAGTATTCCATATGGATGACTGTACATCCCTCCATTTATTTAAATAGTTGTTTTAGGTTTTTTTTAATGGAGGGTCCAAATCTTATAAAATTACCCATATGTATTTTATATTTTGTTGCTCTTATAAATGGGTTTTTTTTCAAAGTCTGTTTCTAGCTGACTGACACTAGTAAAAAGAAAAATTACAGATTTTGTATATTTATCAAATATCCAAACACCTTATCAAAAGCTCTTATCAAATCTAGTATTTTTTTAGTCTCCTGGGTTTGTTAACCAATCATATCACCCCCAAATACAACAATTTTATCTCTCCTAATATTTGTATCCATTATTTACTTTTCTCATCTTATTACATTAGCTAGTACCTCCAAATCGATGTCAATAATTGTGTTCATAGAGGGGAGCCCTATTTTGTTCCTGATTTGAAACAAAATAACTGCAACATTGGACTGCTTATTATATTTGCTAAAATGATTTGACAGTCTTTTCATGTTTAAGTAAATATCCTTATATTCCCATTTTGCTTATAGTTTTGTCAAGAATAATTATTTAATTTTATAAAATTATATTATAGTATCTAATGATTTAATCCTATGATTTTTTTCCTCTTTTAATTTGTTGATTTAAAGAACTTTCATGTAGATTTTCTGATACTAAAACACCTTTACATTACAGAAATAAACCCTACTTAGTCATGGTGTGTTATTCATTTTATACAGGGCTAGATTTGGTAAACCAATGTTTTAGTTAGACTTTTTGCATCCATATTTATAAGTGAAATCAATATATAATTATCAGATTACATTAGTTTATAAAATGAATTCAGGAACTGCCCATTTTTTTTCCTATGGCCTGAAATTATTTAAATACCATAGGAATTTTCATTTTACTTCATAATTTTACTTTATAAACTAAGAAAGGTATTGTTAGATATTATGATAGAGGGTATTTTTTGTTTGTTTGCTTTTTGGAGGGAGGCTATTATTGTTATACAACTTTTAAACATGGCAAGGAGTAGATGTTCAGAAAAGTATACAGGTTGACTAAAGTCAAGTAACTATTATGGTACGAAGCTGGGAATGGAACACCAGTCTTCTGATTCCAGGCCTGGACCTTGGTCTACCATGTACCACATCATCTCTCGAGGGATGAGCCTGAAATCCTGACCTAAACAAAAGAGAGCAGAAATCCTACAGCAGGACCAACAAAAGAAAGTCACCCTTTGGAGAACACCCAATGGAACAGTCACAAGCCTTACAAACAAGGGCTATGAATTGCTGGGAAGCCACAACCACAGAATGATCTCCTTGGTGTTTGGTCCTTTGAAATGGGATCATCCAGATGGAGCAAATGGACCACGTGAACAGTGATTCAAGATGGCAGATCCATGAGGGGTAACTGTGTAGGGTTGTATATAACTATGTAAAGTAATGATAATTCATGTACACATCTTCTTTAATAATTTACAAAGAGTAAGTTTAAAGAGGTTAATCATTTGTCAAAGATTATACTCTATATCTTAAAGGTGATGGAACACCCCATACTCCTTAAATCATGCTCTTTGTATGTTTCCTTCATAGCATTTATCACTCTTATTGCAATTATTTTATTTATTTGTGCTACTAGTTCTTTCCCTACCCACTGCCTTACCCAATTACAATGGAGGTAAGAGAAGAGAAGAGGCCATATTGTATTATTGCTTTATCCACAGGCCTGAACACAGTGAAAAGACATTCAAAATATGTGTGTTATGTGATTGAAAAAATAAATTCCATACACCATTTATACCCGGAGTGATCCCTGCTTGGATCCTACATAGAAAGGACACCAGCTTTCCCTCCAGAAATGGTGGTCCCACTGCACACACAGTTAGGAAGAATACTGTTTGCTGCTGCCTTTCTAAATATAAAATGTGCTATACATCCAAGTCAGAGCTCTCCATATCAATCTTATACAATCACCTTATTTGACAGTGACATTCTTTTAAAGGCAAATCAGTGTGAACTCGCAATATCCCAAATTAGATCAAGCACCCAGGTTCAAATGAGTTGGCCATTAATTACTCTCCACCACCTGCCTAAGTTTGAGACCACCAGATCTCATTTTTCATTGGGCTGACATCCTGAAAGGCACCATTTGTCAGGAGACCTCCCTTGTATTTTTTTCTTTTCCTTCCATTGTTTCACTGAATTAACCAAAGCAATATTAAATAAGTTGCTAAATACAGATATTAGCTCATTTGTAGCTAATATTATAGGTAAATGGTGCATAAATGAAGCATCCTTCACCCTCCCCGGTCTTTCTTTTCTTTTTTTTTGTTTTTGAAGCTTTTGTGATGTTCTCCAGGTAAATCCCATGCATAATGTAAGAGTGGCAATGTTGTTTGCATAATAAGCTATTTTCTACCACAGAAGCAGAAACATTTTATGGCTATAGAGAAAGCTCAAATTATGAATACATTTTCATATAAGTTGATTTATGTGAAAATTACAAATAAATGCAGAGCTGAGCTGCAAGTGAATTGTTTGTTCCCAGTTCAAGGAGTGGTGTTATTTGAAATTAAAAAAGAAAACAACCCACCACATCCTGCTAAGAGAAATATTTTTAATGTTATTCAGACTGAAGCACATATCATATGACCCAAGAAGAAAAGCATCGCCTGGTCCAGAAGTAGGACCTGAGGTTGCAAAAGATAAGATACATTTGTCTGCTGATTTCTGAAGCCATCTTATCATGGATAACATAAATGTAATATATATATATATATATATATATATATATTATTCACGATATAGGTATTTTTACTTGCACTTGGGCTGCAAAGATTCTCAGCAAACTCTGTAACTACTTCTTTCAATAGTCAAAGGAAGTTGAAAGAATAAATGGAAGCCCATCATCACTTCTGCACAAGTAAGAGCTAAACGTGTGTGTTAAAGACATGAAGACGGTTTTGTTTTTGTTTTTGTTTTTTGTGGTACGCGGGCCTCTCACTGCCGTGGCCTCTCCCGTTGCGGAGCACAGGCTCCAGACGCGCAGGCTCAGCGGCCATGGCTCACGGGCCCAGCTGCTCCGCGGCACGTGGGATCTTCCCGGACCAGGGCACGAACCCGCGTCCTCTGCATCGACAGGCGAACTCTCAGCCACTGTGCCACCAGGGAAGCCCATGAAGATGGTTTTGTGTAAGACCCAAAGCTTCTCAGACAACTGCAGGGCTCTCAAAGTGGGATGCACATTTATAATTCCAGGCAGAATCGTGGCAGGTAGAGAACCTATCTTGCTAGAACACCCCTCCCCCATTAAACTAATACACTGTTTGGCGTCCGGGTGGTTGATCCATAACAGGGGTGTGAGGCTGGCCACAAAACCGTGGCTAAGGTTTCAGATGTGGAGGAGGCAGGTTTCAGGGAAAGGACACGGTGACGTGGCACCTTGGACAATAATCAAATAAATAACAAGTAAAATAAACGCAACGTGTTTAGCAATTTGGGCACTTATATGCCTGTACTTTTCCTAGCCCTTTACGCTGGCCTGGATTACCCTCATCATGGGCCATGGTCACAGGAATCACCCCACCCTCAATGTTGCCCCAGACCTCAGCTCACTTGTGCTTTAACTGTTGCTTATAAACCCTCACCTTTCAAGTTCTTGCTTCTGACAATGATCTCTGACCCCCTTCGCATTTTGCAACCCTTCAGACCTCCTAAACCGGCTTACTGGACTTTGGTGTCTTACTCAGCTCTTTGTTCCATGTGTCCCCGAGAATCTCATGATGTTCAAGGCTGCAGAGGAGACTCCTGTTTCCAGCCCCAGCCCATGGAGCACTGAGACCACCAACCACTCCCTCTCCCCCACTCCTCCCAGCACCACAGAAAGGGCAATTTGAGTAATACAGACAGCTAACCTAAACATGGGTCTCAATTCACTGTCCTGTCAAGAGATGTTGCATGTGTAGATCTGACCTTCGGCAAACCCTTTCTGCCATCTCCAAACCGTCAAGATTTTTTCGGTAAGTATATTCCAGTCAAAGCATAAACTGGAATCGTGTAATTTGCCCAGCCTTGTTCGAGCAAAGAGACTAGAGCCCGTACCTTCACTGTCCCCCAGATTCAGGTATTAAACAACCGCCCAAGGATCTCTGCCACATTCATTCTGTCTTTATTTCTTTTTTTTTTTTTTGCGGTACGCGGGCCTCTCACTGCCGTGGTCTCTTCCGTTGCGGAGCACAGGCTCCAGACGCGCAGGCCCAGTGGCCATGGCTCACGGGCCCAGCCACTCCGCGGCATGTGGGATCTTCCCGGACCGGGGCACGAACCCGTGTCCCCTGCATCGGCAGGCGGACTCTCAACCACTGCGCCACCAGGGAAGCCCCTGTCTTTATTTCTTACTTGCATTTCTTAGGCTGACTCTGTGCTCTCCCTCCAATATTATGCTGGACGTCTGAGTAAGACGTGAAAATAAGCAGTGTAGGGGAAACACTGTTTTAATTACACTGCCTTGGATTTTCACATTCAGTAGGTTGACATTCAGGGAGGAAATACTTGGTCTATTCCTGCACCACTTGAATTTTAGTCCAGCAACAAACCTTATGCCTGAGGTTTCAAAGCCAGGAGCCTGAAGAAGGCTCTTCCTCTCTATTATTCTCTGACTCTAGCAATATAAGCAGGCCAAGAAGAAGCATATTTCTCTTTAAATTAGATGGAAAACGACTCACTCCCACAAACACCACCACGTAGTTTGTGTCCCTTTTGCTAACTCAGGATGATAAAAGTAAAAAGGTCTTCAAAGGACAAATACTGGAAGAGTCCACTTGTATGAGGTACCTAGAGTACCTTGTATTCCTCGAGGCAAAAAGTACAATGGTGGATGCCAGGAGCTGGGAGGAGGAGAAAATGAGGAGTTACTGTTTAATAGGTACAGAGATTCAGTTTTGCAAGATAGGAGTTCTGTGGATGGATTTCATGTGGTAGGACAAGATTGTGAATGTACTTAATGCCATTGATCTGTACGCTTAAAATGGTTAAGATGGTATATTTTATGGTATGTGTATTTTACCACAAAAAATAATAAAAGATACTTATTGAGCCACATTTTTTAAAGTAAAAAGAACTTTTAAAAATATCATATTTCAAAATTCTAATAGAACTAACTATTGAATCATTGATTTAACACCTACTCTATGCCTTGTACTCTGCTAGGTCCTGGGGGTACGGTATTTACTGTGAGAGACACATGCTCCGTGCCCATGGAGCTGAGAGCTAGTGGGGAGAGATGAATATTTTTAAAAATTACAATTTGATGAGGACTTTGAAGGAAAACTGAAAAGCTGTGCAGGACCATTTGGCGGACACCATCCCCCTGACCTGGACTGCAGGAACAGAAAAGCCTTTCCTGACTGAGGAAGGAAACTTGAGGAATGAAGGAGAGTTCATAGGAGAAAAACATGTGAGGGATGCTTGATCCCACATTTCTCAGTGTACCATCTCCCCACTAAGGACCCTTGGGCTCTGGATTTCTGTAATACTTGTCACCCAGCATTTTTCTGGAGACCAGATTCACACTGAAAACAAGTATCTTTCTCTTAGTTCAGTGTCAAATACCAAAAGAGAGTGGGACCTAGACACTAGGCCAAGGTCAGTGATAACAGAGATGGCATTTTAATCTCCTCTTTCACCTTTCCTTTCCAAAGCTCTCATCGACATACACTGAATAACAGAATTCTTTAAGGGCCCAGTCAGGTTCTTTACAAGGTTGGAATAAATTCTAAAGAGGCAAAACGTTTGGCTAAAAGTTTATCATTAATAGCTCAATAGTATATTACATATCTTAATATATGTTTCCATACTCTCATGTCTTCCGGTCATCCAGTTGACCTCAGATTTAGAGCAATTTTCCAACATCTTTGATATCTGCATTATCCCAATGGTACACGTTTGTAAGCAATGTCTCCATACTCTCCCCACTTGAACAAACACACACACACAGCAATGTCCCCATACTCTGCCCGCTTCAAAACACACATACACACACACACACACACACACACACACACACACACGCTTTCCCATCCCTGCTATAAACCTCACAAAGGCAGGTCTCAGGTCTATTTTATTGCCTAATGAATAGTCTCTGTAGTTCCTAAAACATCATAGGTGCTCAATAAAAATTTCTTAACTGAATCCCCTTCTTGGTCCCAGCTTCTGAAATTCCTTTCACATATTGTATTAGAGCCCTCGTCACATCTAGATATGAAATAGCTCGGGGAGTCACACAGAACCTAGGTTTAAATCCCGGCTCTGCCACTTAGTAAAACTATGAATTTACGCCAACTACATTAACATTCCAAACATTAATGTCCCCATCTATGAAATGGGAACAGCAATATACTTCTCAGAAGAGGAGCATGTGTGGCACATAAAAATGCTATATGAGGAGGGAGCGGTTGTCAGTCCCTCTGACAGGGCGGCCCACTAGGCTGAAATAACTTCCCTGAGGGTGCAACTTCGTCAGCTTCATATGCTTGATCGTAAGGAAATTAAAAGGGGCAAATAGTGGAATTACTGAGACTTGGGCTTAATCCTGGTTAAGGGGACAACCTAACGTCTTGTACCTCTGAGAAGGGTCTAAAAATCAAGTCATAGATGTAGTATAATATGAAATAAACCCAGCAGCGCTTCTCAAACCTTAACGTGCATACGAACCATGTGGGGATTTTGTTAAAATGCAGGTTCAGATTCACTGGGGTGGAGACTGAGATTCTACATTTCTCACAAGCTCCCAGATGCTCCCCAGGCTCCTGTTGTCTGCACACCACACTTGGAGTAGCAAGGTTTTGAAGCACTACGCAAAATATTGGGTATTATCACTGCAAGGGCCATACCATTATAATGATGACATAGAACCATCTCATTTCTGTGCTTCACGCAAAGGTTTCCCCGAAGTATGGTCATTTTCTCTTGTTGTCTTTTAAATGCCATAAAATCATACTTTGACCCTGACAATGATCATGATAAACACATCTGCATAAAGGCCCCCAAGCTCCTGCTAGGCGATACCTTTAAGCTTAGTGCTATATCGCTTGTAGTTGCCTTAGCTCTTCTCCTCTTTACTCTGCCATCAAGTCAGAGAACCAGACTCACATCAAAGTCAGTTTGAATTCATTTTGTACAATTTCAACAGATACTATTTCAAAGGGCTCTGCTAACTTCAAAAATAATATTCATTACCTGGTCGTTGAAGGAAACTGCTCTCAGGATATTGCACACCGCCATCCCCTAATTTGGCAATTCCATCAGGAAAAGCAATTAAATTTGTCTGACATGACTTGTTTTTATAAATCCATGATGTTTACTGCTCTTAATTTAATTCTCCTCTTACCACTTATAATTTCATTCTCATCTGACAGTTCATATTTTCTCTCTGAGTGATTTTTTTCCCCCTTTATATTACTAATCACAGAAAACTCAGGGAATAGCATCACCTTTTGGGTAGGAAAGAGACTGGAAAATGATGGGCAATGTGCAGGCTCCCCTCAAGGAGGGCAGGAATTTTGTTCCTTATGATACCCCCAGCCCCTAGAGCAGTGCTTGGCATACAGATGGTGTTCAATAAATACCTGCTATCAGGTGCCATGCCAGGCACTGCAAAAGCAGAGAAGACTCTGACCCAGGCCTTTCCCCATATTTCACGTTAGTCAGGAGGCAGACATTTAAAAAGATAATTATAAAGCAATCTGGAAAAAAAATGGTACTGTGACAGAATTGCCGGTAAGGACTGGACCTTACAATTTTATGTTATTTTCAATGCTGGAAAAACAACCATCTAAAATGCTGTCAGCAGTTACTATCTTATTGATTGGAGACCTGAATTGCCTGTGATAATGTGCAAGTTACAGTAGCACAAATGAGGGGATGATCAGCCATTCTGGAAAACCTGAGGTCAGGGAAGGCAACAGGTAGAAGTCACCTGGTGAGTCTCAAAGGATGGACTGTGGTCATAGGACAAGGGGTAAGAACATGTTTTATATATAGGAAGGAGTGTGTGCAAAGCCACAGACTCATGCACCTGGGTGGTATGTTCAGAGGAACAAAGGCATTTGCTCTGGGCTTCCCTGGTGGCGCGGTGGTTGAGAGTCCGCCTGCCGATGCAGGGGACGTGGGTTCGTGCCCCGGTCTGGGAAGATCCCACATGCCGCGGAGCGGCTGGGCGCGTGAGCCATGGCCGCTGGGCCTGTGCGTCCGGAGCCTGTGCTCCGCAACGAGAGAGGCCACAACAGTGAGAGGCCTGTGTACCGCAAAAAAAAAAAAAAAAAAGGCATTTGCTCTGGAACATGGGGCTCAGTGAGGAAGCAGCCAAAGATGGATTCAACTGAGCCAGGAGCCAGATCCTGGAGGACCTTGTGTGCTGAGCTTAGAAACGTAATCAATGGGCAATAGGGAGCCAGTAAGGTGTTTTGGGCAGAGGAGTGAGATGATAAGATAGTGCTGTGAGAAAACTCCATACTGATTGAAAGTATTTAAGGAATGGATTTGATGGGAACCAGACTGGATGCGAGAGAACAGGAGATGATTGCCACAGTCCACGTAAATGGTAACAAGGGTTTGAAGCAACTCCTACCAACAGGAATAGCTACCGTGTATGACATGCTACAGACGGCCAGGAATGGAGCCAACACACTGCAAGCCTTATCGTACTGAATTCAGAGACAGAGGGCAAGACCATAGGGGAGAACTGAAGGATATACAGGAGACAGGATCAACAGTGACTTACCAGATGTGGGGAGGTGAGGGCTAGAGAGAAGGCAGGATGATACCCCTGTTTTGTGACTTTAGATGACAGTGTCTTTCATCAATTTAGGGAAGACTTGAGAAGACATACTATTGGGGGAAATATCATGAGTTCAATTTTAGACATGTTGAGTTTGAAGTGCTTAGGGAACCTCCAAGTAGAAATGGACAATGGGATAAATGAACCTGGAGCTCAGAGTTTTAGGCAGGAGACAGGTTTGAGAATTCTCCATATATAAATGGAGGTTAAAATGGTGGGTGTGGGGGCTTCCCTGGTGGCGCAGTGGTTGAGAGTCCGCCTGCAGATGCAGGGGACGTGGGTTCGTGCCCCGGTCCAGGAAGATTCCACGTGCCGCGGAGCGGCTGGGCCCGTGAGCCATGGCCGCTGAGCCTGTGTGTCCCGAGCCTGTGCTCTGCAACGGGAAAAGGGCACGACAGTGAGAGCCCCGCGTACCGCAAAAAAAAAAAAAAAAAAAAAAAAAAATGGTGGGTGTGGGAGAAAGATGATGCAGATGAAAAGAGCACCAAAGCAAAAATGGAAAACACCATTTGTAATGGATGGACAAAGGATGAGGAAAGAATGAGACTCAGAAAGTATGTTGGAGAGGTAGGATGAGAACCAGGGAGAATGGTGTCAGGACAGCCAAAGGAGAAGAAAGGTTTAAAAAGGACAAAGTGGTCAGGACTTCCCTGGTGGTCCAGTGGTTAAGAATCTGCCTTCCAATGCAGGGGATTCGATCTCTGGTCAGGGAACTAAGATCCCACGTGCCGTGGGACAACTAAGCCCGCGCACTCTAGAGCCCTCACGCCACAACTAGAGAGAAGTCCACGCGCCACAACTAAGATCCCACGTGCTGCAACTAAGATCCTGTGTGCTGCAACTGAGACCCTATGCAGCCAAATAAATAAATATTTTTTTTAAAAAAAAAGAACAAAGTGGTCAACATTGTCAAGGGCTGCTCGAGGTATACTCATTAAATTGCTTTTGAGAAGGCATCATGAGTTCATTCAACACGTGGGGTCTACTTTCACACCGTAATCCCTACCAAAAGCTTTCTTGCTCATCAGACTATGGCAACATGATGGAAGAAAAAGCACCCTCTGAAACTGAAGGTAGAAAAGATCAACATCTAGTATTTGAGATTGGACATCTATCACATGTAACTCACAGGTAACAAGTCCAGAAATGTGCTGATTAGGAAGATACGGACGTATCATGAAAATATAAAGGAAATTACTGGTGTATTATATTATGACTTGCCTAGTGTGAATTTATGAAATGTTAGAGTTGAGTGGGAGCATGTGCTTTTCATAAATAATAAAAAAATGGGTATTAGAGAACAAATGGCTAAAAAGCATATGAAATGATGCTCAATGTCACCAACAATTAGGGAAACTGAAATCAAAACCACAGTGAGATACCACTTCACACCCATTGGGATGACTGTTATTTAAAAACAATCACAACAACAACAACACACAAAAAAACCCAGAAACTAAAAAGTGTTGACAATGGTGTGGAGAAATTGGTAATCCTTGTGCATTACTGGTGGGAATATAAAAGGGTGTGGCCACTGTGAAAAACAGTATGTGGTTCCTCAAAAAAATTAAACACAGGATTAACACATGATTCAAGAATTCCACTCCGGGTATATACCAAAATAACTGAAAGCAGGGACTCGAACAGATATCTTTACACTCACGTTCTTAGCAAGCATTATTCACAACAGCTAAAAGGTGGGAGCAACCCATTGATGGATGAATGGGTACACACAACGTAGTATATACGTACCTTAAAAAGGAAGAAAATTCTGACACATGCTACCACATGAACAGATTTTGAAAGCATCATGCTAATAAGTCAGTCACAAAAGGACAAATATTGTATGATTTCAATTATATAAGATACCTACAGTAGTCAAATTCATAACAACAGAAAGCAGAACGGTGGTTGCCAGGAGGTGGTTGCAACGGTGGTTGCAAAGAGGACTGGGGAGTTATTGTCTAATAGGTACAGAGTTCCTGTTTGGGAAGATGAAAAATGTTCTGGAGATGGATGGTGGTGATAGTTCCATAACAGTGTGAATGTATGTAGTGCCAGTGAATTGTAGACTTTAAAATGATTTAAATGGTAAATTTTATGTTTTGTACATTTTACTATAATAAAAAAAAAGTACGTATTGGAGAAAAAGGAGTCTGTTTTCTCTCAAGACTGCTCAAAAGAGAAAAAGTTCTGATTGTAGAGGGCTAGAGATGAACGGTTTTTCAAACAAGAAATATATCTAAAGAGAGAAGATACTTCATGGTGCCACACCTAATACTACCACTAGTAGTACTACTACTATGACTACCAGTTATTGAGTATTTATTATTTTTCCATGCTAAGTATTTTATATACGTTTTGTAACATCTTTATTGGAGTATAATTACTTTACAATGGTGTGTTAGTTTCTCCTGTATAACAAAGTGAATCAGCTATACATATACATATATCCCCATATCTCTTCCCTCTTGCGTCTCCCTCCCTCCCACCCTCCCTATCCCACCCCTCTAGGTGGTCACAGAGCGCCGAGCTGATCTCCCTGTGCTCTACATTTTTTCACTTTCAAAATGTTGTAAAAGTAAAAATGACTATCCCTAATTTACAGAGAAGAAAACCAGGGCTCAGAGATGTTATGTAACTTGTTAAAGTTGCAAGAAATAAGATGCAGAGCAAGGCTTCAAATCCATGGCCTCTGGCTCCAGAACACATGCTCTCAACCTCTCCACCGTGGGTTAGGATTCTGCACCCAACTACTATGCAAGGCTTCCATTAGGAATATGTGTGGACTTACCCAGAGAACTATTTACCTAGGAAATTTTCCTTAACAGGACACAAGGTGGGAATAATCCCCACTGAAAATAACCAACAGGTATTTCTTTCCCTGCTGAATTTCTCAGCAGAAACAGTGTAAAGCAATGGTTATAATACAAGCTCTGCAACCAGGCTGCCGGGGTTCCCATCCTGGTTTTGCCCTTCTAGTTGGTTAACTTTAGGTAAGTTACTTAACCTGTTGGAGACTTAATTTCCTCACCTGAAAATGGAAATGATAACACCTTACAAGATTGTTATTAGGATTAGATGAATTACTAAATGTAAAAACATAGAATTGCCTGGCCAATAGAAAATTAAATTAGCATTAGCTATGTGGTTTTTTGTTTGTTTTGTTTTTTGCGGTACGCGGGCCTCTCACTGTTGTGGCCTCTCCCGTTGCGGAGCACAGGCTCTGGACGCGCAGGCTCAGCGGCCACGGCTCACGGGCCCAGCCGCTCCGCGGCATGTGGGATCTTCCCGGACCGGGGCACGAACCCGTGTCCCCTGCATTGGCAGGCGGACTCTCAACCACTGCGCCACCAAGGAAGCCCAGCTCTGTGGTTTTATTAGTTTAACTCATTTTGTGCTTCTGGATGCTGATACTATCCTTCAACTGGATCGTCAACACTGAGCAACCAATTTGGAATATCTGGAGTTGCTCTAAAAGTTTTAATATATTGTCAGGGTCAATCATATATTATATGATTCCATTTATAAATCTAGAAGAGGCAAAACTAATCTATGCATTAGAAGTCAGGAGAGTGGTTTACCTCTGGACAGGAAGAAGGAGGAAGTGATTGGGAAAGAGAAGTAAGAAATCTAGGGCTTCCCTGGTGGTGCAGTGGTTGGGAGTCTGCCTGCCGATGCAGGGGACACGGGTTCGTGCCCCGGTCCGGGAAGATCCCACATGCCGCGGAGCGGCTGGGCCCGTGAGCCGTGGCCGCTGAGTCTGCGCGTCCGGAGCCTGTGCTCCGCAACGGGAGAGGCCACAGCAGTGAGAGGCCCGCGTACGGCAAAAAAAAAAAAAAAAAAAAGAAATCTTCTAGATTCCTCGTAATGGTCTATTTATTGACTTGTATGTTCATTTTGTAATAATTCATTGAGGTGTACATTTATTATCGGTGCACTTTTATTTATACATACTCCAAATATAAATGGCTCATTGAGAAAGAAGAGAATCTGCAAGAAAGAATCTTAACCCAAAGCGAAATAAAAGTGCACAACTGGATTGCGTTGCTTGCCTTCTCAAACACTTGTAATGGTCCCCATTGCCCACAGAATCAAGTTTAAGCTCCTTAGCATGGAATATCAGAAGGTCCTTTAAGTTTGCAAGGAGTAACATGCCTTCTCTCCATCTAACTAGCATTCGTACTCAGTGCCCTCCCTCAAGGTAAGGAGACAGATGCTACCATTCATGTGGCAGAATTTTGTCATCTCAGAAACAGCTGCTCTCCCTGTATTCAACCATGGTTTCTGCCTTTGACTCACACAATAATCACTGGCCCAGTTGTTTGTAGCCAGGAGAGCAGGCTTTGTTTGAAACAAGTTAAGCCACTTAAAGGCTAAAATAAGCTTAGGTTTCATTTAAAGGCTACAAGAAGCTTCATAGGAGTCAATGGCATGATGAAGACACCAGATGTGTTGCCTTAATAGTATCTCTGTCTAGAGAGGTGAAGGTTCCTGGGGGTCTCCTTTGTGGATTAGACTGCACCTGGAGCTCAGGTCTGGGCATCATGCTGTGAAAAGGATGGAAATCAGCCTGACATAACCATCAGAGAGAGGCCATGATGACGAAAGAACTTGAATCTGCATCATGGAATCAATGGCTGAAAGGCTCTCTTCCCAATCCATGTGCCTTGGCATCCCAGTGTGCTCCGAATCGTTTAAAGCCGTACCTGGACACGAATCACTCAGCCCTTGAGCAGGACTTGGGACAGCAAAAAACCCCATGCCAGCCAGCTGTGGTCAAGACGGCCCTGGTAAGGGCTCTGTATTGTTCAAGCACAGTGGGCCTGAGGATGCCTTTCACGGTCCCCCAGGGGAAAGCACAAAAAGTGACTCTTGGCACTGGCTCTCAGCCTGGATATACTGAGCATAGACAAGAAGGTGCTGTACCACCTGAGACATCTGCCTTGGCAGACAGAGGCAGAGCACATTATTGCCCATCCTGAAAGAGGGACCGAGGACCTCCTGCTGAAGTAGTTCATACTCCAGATGCCCAAAGAGCACAGTGTGTGACCCTAGGTGCTGCCAGCTGGAGGTGGGGGAGGGAGGCTGGCAGGGGCCCTGTGGATGTGGTTCTGGTGCTGTTCAGAGCCTCTCTTCACATACAACAACTTCTTCCCTCCCTGGGTAGCTTAAGTACCCCTGAAGGAGACATCCGTAGCACTGGCTGGGCGCTCTAACAGTGTGCCTGCATTCTGCAAAGTAGAGCTTCAGCATATTTTGAAATACTTAAAAAGTTCAATTGGATTAGAAGTCCTTTCTCACCAGCATTAGAAACTTCAACATTATATCTGTCAATGAAAGTAAAGGAAAAGCTATGAGAGTCTTTAACTATAACTTCAACTATTACACATTTTTGAAGGTTGTAAAAAGGGTATTAAATTTTAAATCACAGCTTCTTGTCCATCATGACTACCAAAAATTTGAAGAAACCGTCATTAAAAAGTCTTGATCAGGAATTACCTGTAGCCATTTCAAACGTAAAACATGATATTGAAGGTTGCATTCATGGAATTAAGCTAAGTTTTGCTGTCAAACCTTCGAAAAGATTTTATTTGGAAGCTAGGTACAAATTCAATATTTAACATCCTCCCTAATATTTTATATTTTATTTTCGTATCATAATTATGTACTGCTATAAAGAAAATGTAATGAATTTTTCATTAATCCCCAGACAGACATCCCTAATTTGCTTCGGGTTCACCCCAGGGTGTCATGCAAATATCATTTTCGACATCTGCCTTGGAATTCAAAAGCCTAGGAAACATTGGTAGAAAAACATCGCTCATATAGGAGACACATCACGGATACACCAGGTCAGAAGAGCAGCCCTGGGGGCCAAAAATTCAGTTGTTCTGAGTGTCCCCAGGGGGGTAGACTTGCACCTCAAGTGAAGGCTCCAGGCAGATGAACTTCAGTCAGATCTTAAGAGTCAGCTCTGCCCAAAGAGAGAGGCCATGAATGCGCCAACAGAATGTGGCTCACCAGTTGGCAGAAAGTCATAGATGGAGATTCAAACTTCATAGCATGACTGGCCTGAGGAACATGCAAAGCCTCTTCTGACCTTTAGATTCTATGATTCTGTACCAGCCAGTTCAGGAAGCCTTCCAGCCTCTGCTTCCTTGACATTTCTTAAGTTCTCTGTGTGGAAAGACAGGCACTCATCAAGGAGCGTAAATAAAAATCCATCGTCATGCCATACCTGGCAGCAAGATGTTGAAATAAGATTGACATGATGTGCACAGAAGCATCTCTACGTCTCCTGTCTTTACCCTTGAGAAAGACATGTGGGGAGACGGACAGTGATCATGGCTCAGGGTTCTAGACTTTACTAAACCACCCCCTAACTACTAGATACTGGGAAAGTCAACTCCCTCTTAATTTAATTTTCTTACCAACGCAAACAGTGGAGATGAGATTGGGAGGCTTGGTTCATTTCTAAGGGTTTTCCCAGCTGTAAATTTTTATCTAAGATTGTTGATATAACTTCTCTTGGTTTAATTGTCCCTCATATGTACAATGAATATGGAAGGGCCTCTCTCTCACAGGGTAGTAGTTGCATTCATTTCAACATTTACTAAATAAACATATATTGTATGTCAGGCCCTGTGCTGGGCACAAATACATCAAACTTTAGTAGAAAGGACAGACTACAAAAAGCAGGGTAAAGGATGGTGTTAAGACCTTGAAGGACTTACAGGCACTGAAATAACTCTCAAGCTATATGGGAAAATGATGTGGAAGGACGCAGCCAAGATGGTGACCATCAGGGAAATGAAATAAATTCTCCCACCCAGTCCTGTCCCCCATAGCAACACAGCAACCACTATGTGTTCCTCGAACATAAAGCATGCTGGACAGGCAATAGCTACTTCATGACCCAGGGCTTCCCTAGAGCGACAGGATATAAAACACTGGATGATGGGCAACAAATAGGCATGCGTAGCACCAACAGGAGAGGTCCCATCTGGTTCACCTGAGACAAAACTGAGAAGAATTCCTGAAAACTTACTGATGGAGTTCTAGGACACCAGGA